GTTTAACGATGATTTTATAAGCTTTTGTCTGCTATTTTTAAGGATGAAACAATACATATTTTTTTTTGATATTACGAAGTAAAGCAATAAAGCTTTAAGAAACATACAAAATTTTCTTATATTAATATTGTCAAATATCAAATAATTAAGATTTCTAAATTATATTAAGTTGTAGGTAGTGTTGAAGATATTTAATTAGTTTAGAAATTCAATTGTTACTTAAAATATGGCAATAGCTTTTTTCTCCTCTTTACACAATTTCAATTTGGTTCGTACTTTTTTTATTTCAGAAGTAATAATGTAGGATTACTTCTCTTCTTTTTGATTTCTGAACCAATATGTTAGACCACGTGCAACGCTGGTCCTTACAAAAAAATCCTTAGCAAAAAATTATTTTTATAATATGTGGGGACCAAAAAAATAAGAATTTGTGCCATAATTGTCTCTTACAATCCGTAAATAAGGACCAATTCGCTGCTGGGTTCGTCACTGTGCGTGGGTCCCATCGCCGCGTGGGAACCCGTGATTGGCCCTTATTTTTCTTTTTTTTTTCTTTTTTTTTTAAACTGAAAAAAATTAAAAATAATAAAATAATATAAAACACTTACTTAGGCTATTGAGCTATGAGTAACATGGTTGCACATGCCCTTATACTCCTACCATATTAATCAATAATAATTTCTTGTTTTATTTATTTACTTTATATTTTTGTAGTATGACGAATAATCACATCTTTAATCTTATAAAATCATCATTAAACCTTAATAATAATTTATAAAAGTATTAAATGAGAAAACTTTATAAATAGATTATAAAATTGATAAAGTAATATTTAAAAAATATAAATTATTTTAAATGTTTATAAATCAGTTGTAAGATTTTTAAATAATGAATAAATTATAATAAAGATTTTAAAATATTTAATCGCATTTAGTAATAAAATCCCTCAACTAAAGATGAATTGTAAAAAAAAAACTCCAGCTAAAGATTTAATGAAATAAACCCTCAACTTTAGTTCTGTTAACATATGTCACCCTCCGTCTAAAATTCCGTGACGGAGGGTGACATACATTAACGCAACTAAAATTGAGGGTTTATTTCAGTAAATCTTTTGGTTGAGGGTTTTTTTTTACGATCCATCTTTAGTCGAAGAATTTTATTATAAAACCCCAATTTAAAACACTATCTACCAGAACTTAAAGTCGTCTTTACACAATAAACACCAATATATAAAAGTACGAACAACATAACTGCATGTACTGCAAATTTGATTACATAAACATTACTAAGTTTTACTTCCACTAATGACTAAACATAACTTAATGAATACCAAGCGCCTGCATTTGTCTAACCATCAACATAGACGAATCATACATCTGCTTGCGACTCACATCACCTTCCTTTCCACCTTCCTCTTCAAAAAATCTCTCGCTTCCATCCAATGTACATACCACTTGGCTAATGCTAGGTCTTAGCTTTGGGTCGGTTCTCGTGCAAACCAACCCTAACCTCAGTACCCTCGCCATCTCTCGCCTCTCGTACTCATCATCTAGATGTACATCCGCAATCTCCTCCAATGGTTTCTTCTTGTTACCAACTAAGTCACGGATTCTTAACACCAAAAGAGCGTCTTCCTTTTTCCTCGTGTAGTCCACCGCGGGCTGGCCTGTAACCATCTCGAGTATCACCATGCCAAAGCTGTACACATCAGCTGCCGTCGTTGCTTCACCGGACTCCATGTATTCTGGTGCCATATACCCAAAAATCCCTTGCGCTGAGCCCTTCTTCTTCGCAGCATGATGTGCCTGATCATTCCTAGATAAAAACTCGGCCAAAGCGAATCCGCATAGCCGCGGATTCATGTCACGGTCGAGAAAGATTGTAGAAGAAGTTATGTTCCGGTGAACCACTTGCTCGTCCCATTCCTCGTGGAGGTACCGTACCGCGCAAGCAAGCGATTTGATCACGTTGTACCGGTTTTTCCATCGCAAAACTGTGTTTCCCGGTATCTGGCTGTGGAAAAGAAGATGGCTTAGCTTCCGGTTCGCCGAGTAATCATACACAACAAGCATTTCGCCGTGCTCTGTGCACCATCCACGGAGCATGACAAGGTTACGGTGTCGAAGCCGGCCTAAGTTAAGTAGCTCAGTTGAGAACCGTGTTACTAGCGCGGGACATTTCGTCATACCGAGACGTTTCACAACAATATGCTGATCCTGGTTTAGTAAACCGTAATAAGCCGTACCGAAATCAACCTCAGCGACACGACGCGCGTCAGAGAAATTATCAGTGGCTAAAACAATGTCGTTGTACGATATCTCCCTTGGCGTGTCCAGCACGAAAGACTTAGACGACATCATCCGACGGCTGTTGTTACTGAAATACCGATTCTCTCCCGTTTCCGCCGTCTGGTAAATAGAATCCTCAAGGGCAGTAACGTAATCTGACGACGGTGTTGATTCAGAAGACACGTTCACACTTGTCGTGGAAGTAGTTGTCGGGTTCGTCGTTGTGGTTGTCGTGGTCCCCGAGGTTGAGGATGATTTTAAAGAAGATAAAGGAATGTAAAGAGGGTGGCTTTTGAAGGAAGGTAACGCCGGTAAATTGCCGGAGATCTCCCCGGAAAGTGCTCCGATCACCCATTTCATGTTGGGACGAAGATGCGGGCTGTGTAAGGAGCAGAGAAGAGCAAGATGAATCATCCTCTTCATGTCGGAGACAGCATAAGAGCCTTTAGGCAGCCGAGAGTCACCGGCGGAGAGCAGCTTCCGGTCATCGGATAACCTCCGTACCCAGTCGAGCAAAACGATCTTATCCTCCGAGAATGAGAGGTCCACGGCGCGTCTCCCGGAGACGACTTCCAGCAACACGACGCCGAAGCTGAACACGTCGGTTTTAGCGGTGGCGACGGTTTTTTTTCGGAAACTCTCCGGCGGTAAGTAACCAATTGTCCCACCGATCCGAGTTGAGTCAGCGACTCGGAACTGGTGGTTTCTAAACGAGGAAACCGAGTCGTAACTCGTATCGAGCTCAGGCTCTTCGACCTCGTGCTCTAGCCAACGAGCCAAGCCGAAATCGCCGAGGCGAGCGTTGAACTCGGAGTCTAACATGACGTTGCTTGTTTTAACGTCGCGGTGAATGATCTGCGTCTCTAACTGCTCGTGGAGGTAGAACAACGCCGCGGCCAGTCCTTTTACGATTTTACCCCTCCGGTCCCAATCCAACGGTTTGAATTTAGCGTTCATCTCCGGTCTACGGAAAAGCACCCGGTCTAAGCTCCGGTTAGGCATGTAGTCGTAAACCAGAAGCAATTCGTCGTCGTTTAGACACCATCCTCTTAGTTTCACTAGATTCCGGTGCCGGAGCTGAGCTACGGCGACAAGCTCCGCCGCGAACGTTTTCTCGAACTGTTCACCTTTTTTCTCCGCTAAGCACTTAACAGCCACGGTGGTTCCGTCGCTTGGTAGCACCGCCTTGTAAACACGGCCGAAACCGCCGCTTCCGAGGATCAAGTCGTCGCTGAAACCATTAGAGCCGATGTAGAGCTCGGAGTATCCGAAGATTCTCGGGTTCTCGGCGCCGATTTTGTCGGAAAGCTGAACACCTTCCATGTCAGTGAAGGGTTTATCGTTGATCTCAAGAAAGTTTGAATCTTTATCTCTCTCGCTGATACAAAGATTCAAGCTTTTAACCAATTTGGAGCTGTGTAATCGCCGGAATAAATCTCCAACAAGACTCACAACTTGCCGACCACAGTCACGAGTCTTCTTCTCCTCTTCCTTGGTCTCCTCAGCCATCGTTGGCGTCTCTACGGAGGGCTTTAACTCGCCGGATTCTGCCGGTAATACGAAACAGAGACGGTCCACTGACATTGGCGCCATGTGTACATGTAATAATAATATCAAATGTGAATGAGTTTATGATATGGTGTGCTTTATAACATTTATGTGGCGATCTATTAGATATCTTTGACCGACCAAAATTTAATGATGGATTTTCGCCAGCAAGACTGATATATAGGTGTGTTCTAGAAAATTTAATGTGATGTTTCAAAAAGGTTACTATTACTCCCTCTGTTTTAATATAAGTGTCACTCTACAGCTATGCACACGGATTAAGGAAATAATTAATTTTACATATTTCCTATATAAAAACACAATTACCCATACACCTAACCATATTTTAACCAATAGAAAAACAAATTATATAATAAAATTAATAAATTTTACATTGAAAACCGAAAACGACACTTATTTTGTAACACAAAAAATTCTCTACAATGACACTTAATATAAAACGGAGGGAGTATTATTTTGAATATTGGAGGTATTAATTTCAACAAAGATTAGGTTTGCGTGGTTTGAAATTAGCAAAACCCATTTATCGGGTTTGGTCATTTATAGTGATGTGTCATCGCCAAGTATTCTACATTTCTTTCGTATAAAGTTCCTTTATTTTAATTTTTAGGTCTAATTGAGTTTTTAGTGAGAAAAAAAAAACTCGTTGATTTTGTATTATAAATAAATACAGAAATAAACTTAATTTATTTACGTATGGAAAATATGCGACCGAAGAAGACCTCTTCAAACTTTTAAGCGTGTCGTCGAGAAGAATATTGACGGTCTAGATTTGTCTTCTTCTATATGTTTCTTTTATTTCCTTTTTCTAATATAAAAATTCTAAATAAACTGACATGTTTTTTTACATTTTCTGTTCAAGGACGTGTAATATGAGTTTGAAAGCAGTACGCGCTCGCTAGCTTTGGCAAAATTATTACGCGCTAGGTTATTAGGTTGGATTTATATGTATGCTCTATTCTACCTAAAAATAAGAAGTCAGAAGAAAAATCTTGGTGCAGCCTCCACGAATAGAGGAACTAGTAAGAGCAAGATTATCGCACGTCCTTGGGCTCGTCCTTAGGTATTTTGGACTTAAAAGAAAATCAAAAATATGGAGAAAATGAAGGACGTGCCTTAATAGGGGACTTTTCTTTTTGGTCCTTACGTGCCAGCTGGTAATTTTTGAGCACGGGTCGAAGTCGTCCAGGATTTCTCTCGACATTTGGTATCCATTTCAGCATCTTCCTCTCCCGATTCACACGCAGTTGAAGAAAGCTCTTCCGACGATTTCTCGCCGCAAACGGTTAGTTCGCAAGACGAGACCGATCTGTTGTCTCCACGGTCGACAAAGAAGTTCCTCTCTTTTTTACCTTTCCATCTGTGATTACGTGTCTGATTGATAGATTTGTGTATCATGTCTCTGTCTCTGAGGTCTTGTTTGATCAAAAAAAGCTTGAGTCTGTTCCTTCTGGGTTCGCTTTATATATCTAAATACTTGATTCACATCTACTTTTGAGTCTCAAGGTTTGATTCATGTCCTGTTTTGCAGCAAGACTTACTGAATAAGACATCAAACTCTCTGCACATTAATGGAATTACAGGTCATTTGAAGAACTGACTAACCATCTGTGTGGTTGATTGTGTGTTTGCAGGAGTGATGGAGAGTAACAAGCAAGGCAAGCTTGTGCCTCTACTTACTGAAGCTGGTTCTATTGCCAATAACTCTTCTCAGCTTTGATGAAACTCTGAAGCAGGCGTCTTATAGAGAGAGAGACAAAGGAAGTGAAGAAAGAGTGTTGGTTTTTATGCTGTCAAGTAACCAAATAAAGAAAGATCCTTTGTTTTTGTTGTTGTTAACTTTGCTTCAAACAAAAGACTTAAAAACTGTGTTGTTTGTGGTTTGGTTAATGAAGGACTAATTTGAGTAAGATTCTTTCTATTATATATCAAGAGTATTGCCTCGGAAATTGACTTTTGTACCAGGGTTGTTAACTCTGTACCAACTTCCAATGTCAAGACCTGAAGCTCCATCTTCTTCCTCCGGTTAAGGAGAGCAAATGTCAAAGAGATCGTCTCCTTGTACTCTGTCGTTGTCTTCAGGTTACTGTTATTTTCCTTTGGCTTCTTTCATTCTTATTTCTTTTGAGCTTTTGATTACCAAAAGCTCAAGTGTTATATGTTTATATTGTCCTGTTTCTGGAGGCTCTGTGTCTAGTAGACTTAAGTCATTGGAAGAATATAGATGCAGAAGATACAATAAGTTGGGAGCCAAAGTGTGCTTTCTTGAATCTTAGAATAAGCTATAATAAGTTGTTGCTTAGGCTCTCAAGTTTTCGTTTGCTTAGTTGTCTAGTGATTGCCATATAGGCATACACTCCACTCTTTGGAGTCGCTCTCGATCCTTGAAGTGTAGTCTTAGCTATTGAATAATGTTTCTTTTTCGCAGCAAGACTTACTGTGGTTATTGCCAGAAGGTGAAGCAGTTACTGAAACAGCTAGGAGCAGATTTTGAAGTACTTGAGCTCGATGAGATGAGTAAGAATCCAAATCTTGTTCATACTTGTTGAATGATAGATCAATGCTTGTTCCCCTCTGGTTGATAGATTAATTTATTAAGAGACAATAAAAAATCCTACCAATAATTTACAATTTTGAGATTGTCCTTAGTTTAGTCCTTAACATAACAATATTAATAAAAATAATCTAAGGACCCAAAATTAGTCCTACCAATAATGATGCTCTAACATGAAAATTGCTCTAACATGAAAATCAAGGACAACAAATCCTAACACTGTTCATTGAGATGTTATTATTGTATGAGTCAAGTACCAAGGCAATGAGATATAGTGAGCTTTTGTGGAGTACTAAAGATTCAGATACTTTTGAGGTCTGCCAATCAAAACATGTCACAACACCATTTAACTAGTAGATAATTCGTTCTCCTCGAACATAATGCTACAGTTAAATTCAAATCCTGTAACTTTCTAACTATCATCAGATTATGAACCTTTGATCCATGATTTTCTTAACCTGATACTGACTTTTAATATCATTTGCGGCCGGTCCAACTATTATCACATTTGAGTGTTATAAGCCGTGTTATATAGTAACTAATTTCATCCATCTAGTTCTCAAGATCGGTTGACTAGTTTTCATTTCGGATATCATGAAGTTTTTCTGGTGGCTTAGTTTGGCACTGAGCCTTTCAGACCGATCTTGATTGAGAAGACTTTAGATTTAATTATATTGTTGCACATGTAAACGGGTATGAATGAACTCTTTAGCAAAGTAAAACACGGACATGAACGGTCTAGAAAATTATATATATATATATACTTTTTCTGTTTCTAGAGACTAATTGTTCCTGTTAATTATTTATCTGCTCATATAATTTGATGAAACAAAAACTATAAATTCAAAACGACAATAATCCTCATTTGTGGAAATGTATTAGTAGCATTTTCAATCCTGAATTTTGAATAAGATTATTAGAGCATCTCCAATAATATTATTTATTTTGAAGTTTGTAAAATTTTATATTTGAAATTTCAAAGTGTTTTCTCCAAAATCAAAATTTCAAACTTAACTTTAAAATTATTTATATTATACATTATGGTCCTTATATATTTCATAGTTAATGTAAATTCATAAACCTTTTATAAATAACAAACACATACAAAGCATACATCAATATTAATTAAAAAAAAACTTACACTAAAATATAAAAGTATTAATACAAATACATAGTTAAATATTAACTACAAGCAAAATACCACATTCTTGTTTTAAAATATTTTAAAATATTAAATTACAAGCAAATAGTAAGTTCTTTTATAATATCCTAGTTGTCTAATTCTAGCTTTAAAATGTTATAAATTTTATTTTAAATTTTTTCTTTAATTTATGTGTAAATTTTAAATTTATACAAAATTAAAACTAATTTAAAACATTTATGAGATATAAAAATTTTGAAAGATTAAAACGATAAACAGGAAAAGATTTATGAATTATAAATTTTATTAGTATGATCAAAATGTAATAGATAAAATTTCAAATTTAAAGTTTTGAAATTCCTTTTTAAAGAGCAAAAAGTTCTATATTTGCAAGTATAGAATTTTTTTTGCAGATGCTCTTAATCATCACATCTTATCTCCATTACAACCAGTAATTTTATTATTCACTGCGTTGTTTTTGGTTGATTACAAGTTTTAAGTTTTTAATGATGATACCTTGGCATAAAACTGAAAAGTAAACGATAAATATTTTTACTTTCTAGATGTCTCTGATGCTAGACTATTCTCTTGAAGATAACTTTTTCACGATAATTTTCGTAAGTGTACTATATATGATGTTGCAGTCTTTCTTTTAAGCAATCAAGTAAATCAGAAGAATTATTTGTTACCCATGAGATTTTTTTTTGATAAAACCCATGAGATTTCTATGCAGACTTGTCTCAAGATATAACGTTACCTCCAAATCTTGTTACCACTTAATACTAAATCAATTAACCTTTTACCGCTTTTTTGTACTGCCTCATCTTATTGGAACGATGATAAGTAACATAATTAACAATCAACCAAAGGAAGAAAAGAAAAATAGATGTACGCAAACTTGAGTGGAGGAAAGTGGGGGACAAAACATGAATAAGGTGTTACTGATATAAAATAGGCATTTGAAACTGTATAAAAGCAAGATTAAACATGATTAACAATTTGATTAACCCCAATAGTATGAAATGACTAATCAATCCAATCAGCCACACAATTTTAGTTCCATATTTTCTGAATTTATGACGTCAAAACGTCAAAACACATGTGATTCTTTCCCAATCACTTGTGTCGAGTTCTTGTCACTTAAATGATCAACAAAACAATTCTTTCCCAATTTAACTTTATTTTTACTTCTTTGAAAACAAAGACCGCATTACGATCCAAATTCAACTACTTTTGTCCTTACCCCCCATTGTAATGATAGTAAGGTCTGCATAGAAAACTTAATGGAAAATCATGGGGTAAGCAATTTCTACCTTAGTATCTTTGTTAATATGCTTGCTAATATTCTACTGCACAATCGAGTTTGGCATTATTTGGTTATAAATTAAACAAAAATCCTAGATTCTATGAAAATTTAGAAGTGTAGTGCACACCTTTTATCTTTGAATGTTGGACACCATCAAAATAAACATCCGCATCAAAGGCTAATTGATACTTTCATTTTCAGTAATTTAAATTTGATTACTATTTGACATTTTAAAAAAAATAAACCTAATATTATACATTCATACTGACATTTTTTCCCCCAAAACGTTGCCAGTAAAAGAAAATGAAGCTTTGGACGGCGAAACAAATGGCGCGATCATTGTCTAGTATAATTTGATTTTCTTGCAATTATTGTTGGTTTTGTAACTGGAGAAGTCAATATTAGAACAGTTGGAATTTGAAAAACTTTTAAAGAATTGAGAAGAGGACATAATGCCACCATAAATGCAATAAGATAAGGGAGACACATCAAAGGAGCTTAAAAAGACAAGATTGTTAATTTCTATATTTCTATACGAAGAAAACAATAGTTAAAACCTTAAACTTTCAAATTAAAACAAAAAAGTTTTAAATTCATGTTTGAGTCAATTTTTTTTTTTAATTTTTAAATATTAATTAATCTAACTCTTATATTTTTTATTTGATCATTTAAGAAACATGAATAATCAACTTTAAACATAATTATATCTAATACAATTGTGTTTTAAAATAATTGTGTTTAGAAAAACCCACAAAAAATTTCTTCTTTCTCACTCAAATATATAATTATCAATTTGTAATCATCTTCCCCAAATCAATTTCAGAGACAATTAAAGATTGTCTTCAGCAGAGTCTACCTCTGAAATCAAAGATGAAATCAAATTAGAAATTAGGTTTTCGAGTGAACAACATGAAGTTAATTTATAATTTCCTTAAACAAAATGATATTAAAACACCATTGTATTGGACGTACTTTAACAATTATTTTTTAGGTTTTTTAAAAGATTAAGTCAACAAACTATAAGAATTAAAATGACCAATAGTTAAAAATTGATAAATTTTTAGCTCAAACATTAGTTAAAATTTTTTTATGTTAATTCAAAAGTTGAAAATTTTAATGGTTGTTTTCTCGTTTTATATGTAGGTAAATTAATTTTTTTCTTTCAAATATGTTATTTATTTGTCTTCACGAGATATATAATCGAGTGAAACTATATAGAAAAAATGGAGAAAACTTTTATATTGTCTAAACTCGAGTTAGTTTATATTTAGAAACCATAAACTGAAAAAGACAAACATACACTATATTGAAGATTAACATAGTACATAGTTTGTTTTCAAATGTGGAACCTATAGCTTAAAAAATGTGGAGCCTATAGCTTCTTTTGTTTTATCTAT